GAAAGAGGGAGGTACCTTGGCAGCAAAAGTCTTGATCCAGCGTTCAGTCAGCTTCGGTTCTCTGCCCTTAAATAAAGTAGCAGTTATTACAGCACACAGTAGCAACTAACTTCATATGCATAAATGATACTCAAAGGTTTGCATGATTTTAAGGAGCTGTAAGGCATTTACTTTGCCAAATAGAATTTTTAATACTCCAGACCGTTCTTGGATTTAACGCTGTTGGCATTCATTCTTTCCTTCTAAGCTATCACAAGTGTGTCTTGTACATGTGTGCACACACATATATGTATCCCAAGTTTACATTAAATACTTTGAAGACTATGAAAATCTTAAAGCAAGGAAATAATTTTGAAGAATGAGATTTCTTCTTGCATAGATACATGAGAGAAATCAATGTTTTTATTAATTTCGATTGGAATTTTGACTTTGATTTCCAGGCTGTTAGCACGTGCACAAGTTTTCAACAGAATGCTGCAAACCATTGCAGCAATATGGGTACCAGGACAATCTCCTGGTAAAACAATTCTTAAGGAAGGTTTTAGAGGCAATCTGGTCAACGCTTTCACTCCTGAAGCCAACACAGTATTTTCCAGCATGCTTTCAATCATGGGAAAATCCAGCACAAACTGTACACTGGGCTGGGAATCAGCAAGTCTCTCTGTGTAGGCTCCAGGTCTAGAGATACACAGTATTACTGGGTTAGCTGTGTCACACACCTACTAGAAGGAATTTCCTTTGCATAATTCTCCACAGTGGTACTGGAAGGCATTACAACTTCAAAATGCACCTATCTGTGTCTTGAAGCCAGTTAAAAACAACTTTCTTGCTCTGTTACTTAATAGCTATGATAAAATTTCATCTTACTGACTAAGCTGGAAAGCAGATTGCAGACATTTTCAGACAGTTTTAACTCATCTGTTTTCCTTTAAAAATAAATAACTTCCCTCTCCTGTCCCAGATGTTTAAGCTTTATATGTAGATGGCATTCTTCTCTCCTCCTCCATCTGTTGCACAACCTGGCCTTCCTACAGCAAAAGGCTGAATAGACATCACAGCAGTTCTAATGCTTTTAAAAATTGTCCCCCTTCCTTTTACCCAGAAAGCAGAATGGTGCCATTTCCGCCCTATTTTTGCCTTCCACTGCCTTAAACTTCACACACTACACAGAACCACACATGTCAGGCACTTCAAACAACTTACCTCTACAACAGGCAACTGAGCAACCTTCCTTCCTTGTATCCTTGAATCCTTGAACAAGCCACTTCCTTGTCTCAGGACTGCTAGCACTTATCAAATTTTATCAGAGACACTTCAAGTGATACCATTCCCCTTCCTTTTATTTCTAGGGAAGAAGTGGGGGGGGGGAAAAAAGTGTCATCCTCTCCTTGATGTCATTTTTCCTTCTATGAATGAACAAGGGAAGGGCAGAGTATATACCAAGCATTACTAATGAGCATGTTATGCTTCCCACAGCTTTGTCCAGGGGAATACATTTTACTTTAGCATAAGAAAGCTATTGTCCCAAGAGAGTCGCAATAAGAGGCTTCATTGATTAAAAAAAATAAATAAAACAACAGCAGAACAGCCAGTAGAGAAGTTGGTCTCATTAAAATAAGGAACTCCATATAGGCTAACAAGAGCTCTAGCATACTAACTGCCAAGGGAAAACAAAAGGCAGCCTAATTCACAGGGAGCACTCAAAACACGAACAAAGCAAAATATTCACACAGCAGCTATCGCAAGAATGCTCAGCATCTGCAGTTTTGTGACATGCCAAACAAAAACTAGTCAAAAAAAAAAAAAAAAAAGAGGAGATGGAGGAAAATTGTGGCACTTGAACTTCAAGGGCCTGCTCTTCTAAAACAAGCTATTTTGTAAGCCCATATGCCAAAGGGCTCTCTAGAAAGTCAAGCGGCTTCACTTGTTATCAGGGCATCTGAATAACATTTAACAAAAAAAACGCTTATGATACAGACCATCCTGCATGAATTTTGAGTTGAAAAATTAATATGGCAACAATTAGCCATTTTCAGAACCCAAACAGTCCAGCTCTCCGATTCAAGGAATACAGATTAACATGGCCTCATCACTTACAAAGAGAGGTATGGGATGAGAAGACCCACAAGCCTGCTTCAAGTAGTCAACCTGCAAAGGTGCAGAAGGTGCTGGGGTGAGGCAAATACTGCAGTACCAGGTAGAGTCATAACCAAATCTGAGTTCTTCTAAAACCAGTTGGGTTCCTTGCATCAAAAAGCTCTACATAATGAATGAAGCAAATATCTGATATTGAATTCAGGCAGCTCCAGATAGAACCGTATCAGTCTCTACGCATGCCCATTTCATCACCTCACCTTCGTGGAACAGGCATTTGGTGTTCAGGGCTCACAGTTGTGAAAGAAAAGACCACAGAATGAAAATGCACTGTATCACGTCCCACACACAGCCTCAGACCATGCCATTCCCATCTCCAGGCCAGCTGTCAACCCCAAGGTCCCTCCAAGGGCTCTCTACTTTCTTCATCTCTTAAAACAAGGGAAGCAGCAGAAACTTGCAAGCGCTTCCCAACCAGTGGGGCAACCAGCCCAGCTTCACCCTAGCAAATGTAAAGGTCCCCGACCCCCAGCATCCCTCCCAGAAAATACTTCTTTTTTGGTGGTGCTTCTGCTGCCAACAGGCTCCATGGAATGGGAGGAGAGGAGAAACTTTGCCTAGTAGCGCCTTATGGCTGATTGATACAGTGACGCTGATTTACTATGAGATGGGCAATCAGCCACAAATGATATGTTGGGGAAGGCAGAAGCTGCCTTTGGCTGGCCAACTGCCAAACCTCCAGTAAAGGTCTAGAGCTATGGATCAACATTAGGTACCTTTTTTTCAGCTCTCTTTCCTATCTACTCACACATGGCACAGAGACGGGCATTTCCAAGGAAATGACCCTCATAGGACAGCCTCACAAGACCACAGTCTGCCTCTGCTTTCCAGAGAGAAGCCCACCACTTTGCCCCCAGGCAATGTGAGAAACAGCAAAGTCAGCAAATACTAAAGCACTTTATGCAAATATTTCAGTATGCTAAACACATGCTCTTAGATGGTACACAAGATAGCTGGCTTTGTATCAGTGGTATCAGGTTTTATAGATCATTCACTGGGGCCCAACCAGCAAGACATGCTACACTAATTACAAGCCATTCTGTAGCACAAGAAGTGAGTCCAAATCCCATTTTACTCGACTGCACAGTTTACAAAGAAAGAAAAAAAAAAAATCCAGAACTGCACAGATACGTAAAACATGGATGAAGCAGCCATTGACCTAGCTTAAGTGGAATCTAAAGGGATTCACAAGACTCACTAAAAAGCCTTGGCTTCACAGACTGATTAAAAAAACCTTGGGTAGAAACACTTTTACATCTTCACTCTTTATTTAAGATATAAAACACATCATCTCCTATTCCATCAACACCCAAAGGCAGTCACAACAGACTAACCCAGAGCAGCTGGAAACTGTAGATTGGTCTTGACAGTCCCTACTGAAACCCATGTTTTTCAAGACTCTGAAATGAAAGAAGCTGTCAAATGAGTATCTGTTGAAACCTCCTACGGGATAGCCAAGATGGGGTTTTTTTGGTACGCATACCCTAACATGCAGAAGCAAAGCAGTAGGCACAAGAGACATTCACGGAGCACTACTCTCTCTGTCACTAAAGCAATTACAGAGCCCTTTTGTTGCATTACTGAGTCAGCAGGAGCTCTGCTTCCCTGGGGAGGCCTCAGAGGCACAAAAGAGAAAGAACCAGACTGGTCGGTCCAAGGCTTTAAGGTGGCAACCAATTCCTTACATTAAGGCACACTGACTGCTCACCTCGGGGACAGCCTTTACGCACCTCTCGGTGACAGCACACACAGCACGCAGCAGCGAGCCTGCTCTCCCCTTCCAAAGAACAGCGAAGGCCCAGGATTCACCTGTCAGGGCAGAGAAACCCACTTGAAATCAGGGAGGAGCACTTCGTCTCCACAGCTGGCATCTCCACAGGAGACGTGCAGACGGCTCCTTTACCACCAGAGCATCCAGTTTGGGAAGAGGTTAACATGAGACGCGCTACCCCTGCCGCTCGCCCACAAACTCTTCTCTCCCTCACATTTCCACACCACACTTCTTCCAGCGAAACAACAGTGAGGGGAGCATCACTTGACGTCCAAGAAGCAGGCTGCTGGCTGGACATAGTCAGGTGGAAGTTATGATGACTTAAATATAAAATCTTGTCTTATAATGAAAGACCCACCCAGTACATTTAGAATTACAAATGCATAAGCCAGCAATGCCTTATAGGTCCTAAAGGTATACCTGTACTTTTTCCCATGTCTTGATCTGATACTATGCCAAAGGTGACACACAGCATCCCTGGAATACGGCCAGCTTTTGGGCAAAGAAAGGAGCCAGACGTTTTTCGGCTTACTAGACAATACGAATGAGTATTTTAGCCAAGAGCACTGGGGCAAATTTCCTACAAAAACAGCACCGCGTCCTCAAATGTTTGTGTGAGGCACAGGAGAGGCTGCTTTGAAGGGTGTTATGCAAAAAGTCTGCCCTCTCCCTTCCCCAGGGTAAGTGTCGCGGCTCTTCACTCGCCACATCCATGCCAGAGAGGCTAACTCGGCCGGAT